ACATGCAGTTTAATATAATAAGGAAATGTGAAAAAAAGTTAAGATTTTGTACAGATTATGTAACAAATCCAATATTCTCTTAAGCTAGACGATTGTGGTATATAAGGTGATTGTTTAATATTTGTATAGAATATAGTATAGTTTAGTAAAAACAGGACATAATCTATGTAATGAATTTATAAATTTAGTAAATGCGGGTAGAAAACAAATTAACAGCTTTTATATTTTACCCCTATGATATTCACACGCATCATGTTGTGAAATTAAATGTTTCTTTTTTTAATATTTCAACAAGTTTGCTTGCTTATACCGTTTTCAGAAAGCATGACGTCATTTCAATCATATTTGCAGTCACAACTACCATTTAAGGTAGAACGCGACACTTTGTGAACTTTCGAGTAGCGTCTTGAACATTGGCATGCAGAAAGTTGACCATATTTCTGATTAGATTCCGTAATAGTTTCAGCCAATTTTTGTACACACGACGTCAAAGTTGACCATCAAAGCCCGTTTCTGAACATGACGATGTTCGTATCCTTGGCAACTGTTACGGTTATTTCAACGCCATTGGCAGACAAAATATCTTAAATTCAGTTCTACAGCATCCGATGATAAATTAATCTTTCTTTTTAACTGATATAAAATTTTCGTTTTACGCCAAAAAAATGTTTGAAAAATGGAGAGAAAACTGTCAGTTTTGTGTAAAATTTGGCGTTCAGTTTAGCCACATTTTTCATCTTAAAAGCGGCTTATTAAAAAAATTCTGAAATAAATTTTTGTTTTTTATTCTTTAAACACCCTTTAAAATGTAAACTCAGTCTAAATGACTAACAAATAGGGAGTCACCGACTCAATTTCTTCGGTACACGTGATTTGATTACCCTCACCCCTTGAGTAATTTTGAATCGAAATTTGAAACAATAAAGGAAAACAAATTCTGTCGAATGCTGTAGAATTTAAGATATTTTGTCCGCCTATGGTGTTGTGATATCTATAACAGTTGCCAAGGATACGCAACGAGGTCAAGTTCAAAAACGGGCTTTGATGGTCAACTTTGACGTCGTGTGTACACAAATTGGCTGAAACAATTGAAATAAAATCAACGGAATCTAATCAGAAATATGGTCAACTTTCTGCATGCCAATGTTCAAGACGCTGCTCGAAAGTTCACAGTGTCGCGTTCTATACCTTAATATAACATGTAATATTAAGATTGGCGTTAGAACAGAAATTATGTTTAAAAATTTATGAACTCTTTAATAACGGAAAACATTTAGGAAAAATAGGAAGAGATACTTACAGAAATAAGGAGACATAATGAAAATTCATATAAACTCAAAAATACAGAAACAGTGTGTTTAAGACATATTTTTTTTATAATACTGACATACCAAAACTATCAGATAATGAGAAACAGTCTATTGAAGGTGTCCTACTTAAAATGAAATGTTGAAACGCATGCATGTCAAATAATACAAGTCTAGGCAAAGACAGTTTTGCGTTCGATTTTATTTCCCTGGAATGATTAAGGTATGTTTTTAGTAAGATCAATTAACCATGCATATAAAATAGGTGAACTGTCAGTAACTCAAAAACAAGATGTTATAACCTGCATTTTAAAAGGAAACAAAGATAAATCCTACTTGAAAAATTGGAGACCAATTTCACTACTAGATGTCTCCTAAACAATTACATCTTCATCAATAGCTTTTCGCATAAAAATATTTTATAAAAGATCATTAACGATGACCAAACAGGCGTTTCACCTGGAAGACTCCTGGCGACAAATATAAGATTAGTTTATGATCAGAACAAATAATATATATGGCTTGTTACTATTAATAGATTTTGCAGCTGCTTTCGACACTTTTTCTGGAAATTTATGCATCAAGTTCTCGATTTGTTTTATATTTTGGACCCTCTGTCAGGTCATAGATCAAATTCGTTTTATATAAATGTAGTCATGTGTTATTGTTAATGGTCACATGTCAGATTGGTTCTTGATGTCAATGTGATGCTGTTCATTATTTGTGCAAAAATCCTTTTTCAGTATTGATAAGAGATAATCATAATATAAAAGGAATTAGTGTACAAACTCTCTCTGATGATACTAGTTTATTCTTAGATGGCACTTCAGAATCATTAAAAAACACAATGTTAACGTTAAAATTTTATGCAAACATTTCAGGCGATAATATAAATATCGAGAAAACAAAAGTAATCTGATTTGGGTAAAAAAATACTGTAGCACAATACTGTGTCTAGAAAACAACTTATCAGACTTTATTAGTATATTCAATCTTAGAACAAATTATCTGGAATATCAAGGTTTTTAAGCTGCAGTAAAAAGAAAAAAGATTGGCGTTAGAAATGATACAAGGAATTGGACACAAATAGCGGGTGTGCCTTGTTTTATGGCCTTGTCTATCTATCAATGGGATTATTATTGATCATCTTTCGTATAAGGTACTGATTTTCAAAGGTCACAAAGATTCCCTGCTTTATAGATACAGTTTATTTTACTTCTTGCAAAAAGGTCTCTACACCTGAATCAAATTCAACAATATCATTGCTAAATTTATTGTTGGCTGGAGCAATCTTGCTTAAGCATCTTCCAATAGAATTTATTTGAAGTCATTCTTGCATAACAGGGTTACCATAATATGATTGTTAAAATCACTATTTCCTAAAAATCAGGCTTATTGTAAATCAAAGCCTGGCATTATCAATTAAGCACTGTTGTTCTGGACTTTTTTGCTATATATTTTGTTGTTTTTTGTTGTAGTGTTTTATGTCTTTTTTCGGGGGGGGGGGGTGTACGTCGCGCCAACACAGATCGTAGAGGTTACCGAGATAGCTACCTAAAATAAGAGAACCGAAAAATCCCCAGGGGAATTCAAACAGAAGGATGTGCGGGCAAGTAGTTTGAAGGCAACGTCCTTAACAATTCGGCCACGGACGTTCTTCCGTTATAATCTGAATATATACCGTGAACAAAGATTAAAGTAATTTCTATAATAAATCAGAAATCAATTATTATTTAAGACTTAAGTAAAGTCAAACATGTGTACAACAGTGTTTTGAAATAGATTAAGAGTATTTAAGATGTTAATTACCTTAAGAAAGTAGCACTGAATGTGCAGTAGTGTTTCATTTAAAGTAGCTGTCGTGAATTACACGATTTTGTTTTACTCCTAATCATGAGAATTATGTCTGTTTGTATTTGGCGGGAAAATATTATATTTCTTTTACTCCAAAACTTATGAATTGTGTATGTTTGTATTTGGCGGGAAAGTGTTATATTTCTTTTTACTCCAAAACTAATGAATTGTGTATTTTGATATTGGCGGGAATTTATTACACTTATGAATTACTCCATATCATGATTTTTACATATTTTCAATGATATTCATGACTCTTTAAATTGGCGGGAAGAAACACTATATAAGTGAATTACAATCTTTATTGTGGTAAGTGTAAGCGTATAAGTGTAGAAGCGTAGTAGTGTAAAAAGTGTAAAAGAAGTGAAGTGTAGAAGTGTTAAAAAAAGGTTGTTAAAAGGTGATTAAAAAGTATAGTTGGATGTAAAAGTGAAAATAAAATCTGAATTTAAAAGTGAATTTTATTTTCTTCAATGTAGTAAAAATTAAAAGGAAATTAAAAGGAAAAAGTTTAGAAAATCTGCTACATTGAATTTGGCGCCGGAACCCGGGAATCGAGAATAGAATTTGAAGATTTTCCACAATAAGAATTTCTTCACAACGTATATATGATGTCTCTGTGAGATGCGGAAACAAATATCTTACAGTTGGATTGAAAGGATTCTCGATTCAATCAAAGAAAATAGTGATGTGTGGTATCCTGAAATGTGTTAGTGCGTGAAAACAAATTGAAGGCGAAGTGGCAACCAGAATCAATAAAGTGTTTCTCAAAGGAATATAAAAGTGAACTAAAAAAAGTGTTGAATAAATTCAAGGAATCACTGAGGTAAATTTTGAATAATTTTACTGTGATTTTTTGTGTGTTTATAAATATCTATATAGTAATCATGAGTGACTTACCATATCTAAAAGGCGTGCGCACACGCTACTTTAATTTCCTTGAGAAGGAATTACGGACTGGAGATAATTTATTAGAAACAAGTATTGAGAGCATAAACCCAGAAGAATACAAGCAGCTTGAGCATTCTGTCAATGAAAGTAAACTTAGGATTGATATTTATATAGATAAGCTTACTGTTCAGTCAGAAAAGGTAGCGCGTGCAATTGGTGATTCGGATAGTGAATTTATTCAGGAGATGATTGAAATTGATTCGGTCTTGATTGATAGGGCTTTGTCGATAGCCTTTAAACTGAAAAATGTACAGACCGACCTGAAAAGCAAAATAGCAGAGAATATTATAAAAGAGGAGTCGGACGAAGAAGGATCAGCTTTACAAAAAATGTGTGAAGTTCAGATGAAACTTCAACAAGCCTTCTTTGAACACCAGCAAGAACGGGCAGAAGAGCAAATGAAAATGCAACAGAAATTCTTTGACAAGCAACACAGTCTCAAGATTAAGAGTGAGAATACTGTCAAATTGCCAAAGTTAGACATAGTTTCCTTCAATGGAAATAAACTGCAATGGATGGAATTTTGGGACTCTTTCTCTAGTGCTGTACATGAAAATGACAATCTGTCGCCAGTTGACAAGTTCAACTATTTAAAGGGAAAGCTGGTTGGAGAAGCTAGAGGTGCTATCGCTGGACTGACATTATCTAATGAAAACTACGGTATTGCCATAACAATTCTAAAGGAAAGATTTGGAGATAAACAAGACATTATAGATTTGCATTATAAGGGGCTGGTGAACGTTGCATCCCCTAAAGATACGACTGAAAGTTTGCGATTCTTCTACGACAAATACAAAAGCTCTTCAGAAGTTTGGAAGTTATGCATGATAATTAGGAGCAACAAGTGTTCGTTTCAATTATTGGAGCAAACAACCAAGTGAAGTTCTTATGCATCTTCAAGTTACAAAGGGTGCAGACAATAAGTGGACGATAACCAAGCTTCGTGAGTCTCTAAGACAGTATATTGTATCCAGAGAAAAGGCAGACATACCAAAACCAGTCAGTGCTAATTTTGTACCTGATAGAAGAGTTAATCCACAGTTTCAAAGATCAACAAATACTTTTAAGAGCTACAGGGGTAATTCAACAACAAGTACCACTACCGGAGCTCTGACTGCATATGACAAGAAAGGACATACGCCTCTAACGCATCATCAAAAACAACAACAACATAAGAGAGTATGTAGATTCTGTAGTAAAAATCATTGGAGTGACGAATGTCCGAAGTTTAAAACAATCGACGAAAGAAAAGCTCAAATAAAGGGATGCTGTTACAAATGCTTAAGAGAAGGACACATGTCTCCTGACTGTAAAAGTATACGTGTTTGTGTATATTGCAATAAATCAAATGTACACCACAGAAGCTTATGCCCTGAAAAATTTAGAAAGGCATCTCTGCAAGAAAGTGTAAATTTGTTAGAAGAAGTAGCATGTGTGTCTGAAGATAGAGCAAAACCAAAGGAAATTCTTAGAAATTCTACGGATGATAAAGCTTGTATTGAAAGTGCTTTGTTATCTTCTAATGAAATAGTGATGATGCAAACATCGCGCACTGAGATTTGTGATCCAGATGGTCAAAATAAAAAGAAAGTAAGAATCTTATTAGATTCAGGGTCGCAAAGAACATACATAACCGAGAGACTGGCTAAATCTTTGAACCTCAAGAAGAAAAGTAGGCAAGAGATTCGTCTAGTTACATTTGGGAGTGACAAACCTAAAGTGATTAGAACCATGTCTACGCAATTGAATATTCAATTAAAGGATGGACAGAATTTCGCTATAACAGCAAATATTGTTCCAACAATTACAGGAAGCATTCAAAGAAAACCAGTGTCAATATCTAATAACGGAGAGTTCAGATCGTTAATCAAGAATCTTACTCTAGCGGATGATATACCGACTGAAGAATACACAGATTCTATTGATTTGCTGTTGGGAAATGATTATTACTTAGATATAGTGTTAGGACATAAAATAGAAATTCAGCCAGGCTTATACCTCTTGTCATCAAAACTTGGTTGGATTCTTTCAGGAAGAACAAGTGAAATCGATGACAGCGTTACTGATGCCAATATGCTCATATTATCATATGGCAATAACATAACTAAGACACAAGTGTTTACAACAGTTGACAAATGTGTTCCAAAATTACCTGACATAGAAGACTTTTGGAATATAGAAACAATAGGATTGAAAGATAGCACAAATGGAAGAACTGAGGATGATCAAGCGATAGATGAGTTCAAAGAAAGTCTTGTGTTCAAAGATAACAGATATTATGTCAAGTGGCCGTGGAGAGGCGACAATTATGAAGTTCCAGAAAATCGTCCTCTAGCTTTTGGACGACTTAAGTCATTAGTGAAAAGGTTCAAAGATAACCCAGATGTATTACAGAAATATGATTCTGTTATTCAAGATCAGCTTGAAAAGGGAATTATAGAAAAAGTTGAGACCTCTGAAAAGAATAGACATATCCATTACTTACCTCATCACGCAGTGATAAAGCCTGACAAATCAACAACAAAGCTGAGAATTGTGTATGACGCGTCAGCTAAATCAAAGGTTGAAAATAATAGTCTAAACGACTGCCTTTACAGATGACCCAGATTTTAAGGTGATAGAAAGTTCAGAGGATAAATTGTTGGCAATATGGAAAAAAGGACAGCGGCTTTTAGATTCCTTCTGGAAAATATGGAAAGACGAATATTTATGTAGTCTTAGGGAAAGAACACAAACAAATCTAAAACAAGGAAAACATAAAGTACAATTCAATCCAAATGTAGGTGATGTAGTACTTATCAAAGATAATACTTCTAGAGGTAGCTGGAGGCTAGGAAAAGTCATCCATCTGTATGTTAGTTCCGATGGTTGTGTTCGTTCTGCAGATATTGAAACTGCATCCAAAAAAGTGCTTAAAAGACCTTTAAGCTTACTTTATCCTATTGAAACTTCAAAACTTCTTATTCCAGAGACAGAGGATATAAGACCAAACGCAAAGAAAGAAACTGGTATACGTCTCGAGAGAAAGGCAGCAAATTTAGCGAAATTACGCCTTAAAAATCTTCTTAAGTAATTAACAATCCATAGGTATTTAAAGGCAATACTTTTGTGTTGTTGGGGAAATCCGCATACGCGTGTATAAACAGTTGAATTATTTTTGAAAAATAGAGTGTGTATATATTTATGCACGAATTACAAAACAATAAGAATATTATTTTATCCTTGAAAATATTGTACGAATAAAATAGGGAACGAATTATTTCATATCACATGACTGTACGCGCTAATAATTTGGAGCATAGTTATAACACATGGTGATTTTACGTGCGAAAAATTTGGAGCATAGTTATAACACATGGTGATTTTACGCGCGAAAAATTTGGAGCATAGTTATAACACATGGTGATTTTACGCGCAAATAATTTGGAGCAATATTATACTACATATAGAGGGGAAGAACCTGTGTTTTGTCGACGATAACCATTGCTATACAATGCAATAAATGAATGATAATGTACTGAGGTACTGAATTTTAGTTCAACAGAACAAGGGATGTCCTATATCGTATGTTGCTTAGACATTTATATAAAAAAAACCTACTGAAACAAGTTAAACTATTTATATGTATTAAAATGTTACATACATACATTTTTTTGAAACAGATATTGTAAATGTTTATAAATTGAAAGATTTGTTTAAGAAAACAGAAGTATGTTTCGTTCATTATGTTTAAAAATATGTTTGTCATTATAACTATTTGTTTAAATTTATTTGCGCAAGTATGAGTTTAATTTTCTAAGAAGAAGTTTGTTTCAATTCTTGCATTTTGAGAATATTTAAAGAGCAATTTTAATATGTACTATTTTAGTGAAAGATATCATATTTTAATTTTTGTTGGCCGGAGTGTCGTGAATTACACGATTTTGTTTTACTCCTAATCATGAGAATTATGTCTGTTTGTATTTGGCGGGAAAATATTATATTTCTTTTACTCCAAAACTTATGAATTGTGTATGTTTGTATTTGGCGGGAAAGTGTTATATTTCTTTTTACTCCAAAACTAATGAATTGTGTATTTTGATATTGGCGGGAATTTATTACACTTATGAATTACTCCATATCATGATTTTTACATATTTTCAATGATATTCATGACTCTTTAAATTGGCGGGAAGAAACACTATATAAGTGAATTACAATCTTTATTGTGGTAAGTGTAAGCGTATAAGTGTAGAAGCGTAGTAGTGTAAAAAGTGTAAAAGAAGTGAAGTGTAGAAGTGTTAAAAAAAGGTTGTTAAAAGGTGATTAAAAAGTATAGTTGGATGTAAAAGTGAAAATAAAATCTGAATTTAAAAGTGAATTTTATTTTCTTCAATGTAGTAAAAATTAAAAGGAAATTAAAAGGAAAAAGTTTAGAAAATCTGCTACAGTAGCAAACTGTATACAATGTAGTATGTTGACTTCCGTACTAAAATTACACCACTTTATACTAATTGCAAGAGAGCAAAATGATTTAGTTTTTTGGAAACTGTAACAAGATACCAAAAATTTAAAAAGAGTTTTTGAGAAATAAAAATGAAAGTATCTTTCAACGAAACACAGAAAGAAAAGATATGTTAACTAAGTCAATAATTACAATTTTTGCTCAATCAGTTTTTGTTTTTGAGATGAAAGATTTCTTATGAAACGAAATTTTAAATAACATCACACATTTATAAAATCATCAGGACAAAGTTACATTAGATATCTTTAAATGTTTTTTGTAGCTGATGTTCATGTTAAAACACCAACACAAATGTATGACTTATTGTGTTTGGTATGAATTAAACAGAAACCACTGTTATTTGGACTGATTTTATCAATGATTTTATCAAGATATGAAATATTTGACCTTCTACAAAGCACTATGTATGGAAATTATATAATTTTTTTATAAGCCGACTGATTATGAAAGACATATCAATATCAGAATATAATACACTAACTGTTAGTTTAGTAATATATCTCGGAAGAATGTATTTATAACGTAAAATTTCGCAGTTACATTACAAGTTAATACCAGCGACAACAGCTTGTAAAGGAGATATATCTAAACAAACATAGATGCTATCTTCTATTGTTTTAATTACTTTTTGAAAGTTTATTTCACTTTCTTTATTTATGCACGACACATTCTTTTGCGATTAGAGTTTGGGTTTATATTGCACTAATACAGTAAGCGTCATAAAATGAAGAAAAACGAAATCCTTAAAGAACGCTCGAACCAACAAAAAAGAAAATGTTGCAGCTCGGTTTGATTGGGCCTGTTCATGGATGGTACTGGAATGTTACCGTTCCCTTGCACGGGCTTAAGCAGAATTCAACATTAAAACACAAAAATTGTGAAACTTTGAATTCTATGTTCAATAGGCGATCATCATGGAACCTTTAATGTGACACTTTCGTGCCATTCCATGAAAGAACTTGCGTATGTTCAAGCTTTTACTGATAGAAGAAGACCTCAGCTGCCCTCCGCGTGCTTTCAAGCACGCACGTACGGGCAATTTAGTTGAACCACATTAATTTTGTACCGTAAGCTAGCTGGATATCTACTCACATGTCCGGATTGGGATTTAAACCAAAAGCGGTGAAGGGCATGTGATTTGAAGTTAAAGACATTAACCATTATAAAAGTCCCAGAACACTGGAACGCTAGTACACTAAAGTAGTCATATATTTAGTAACAGTTAATTGTTAATAGGTTTTTGTTTTAAACTTTGAAAGGGAAATGTGCCTTTTGGAAAGACAAAGTGCAATTTTTCTTGAAATTGTGAAGTTTAGCTTTATTTTCCTATACAACTGGAAAGGAGAAAAAAGATATTGACATTGTTCTTATTTTATTCATTTAAGAACACGTGTATTTGCTTTGTTTCAACCCCTATTCATGTTTTAAATATCTCATCAAATTGTAAATAGCTTAATAAATATTAAGGTATTTAAAGCTGAAGCTGCTAAATACTAATAATTTTTGGCATTTTTGTTTAAATACTGGTTCATTGGCAGCAACTTTTTGTCAAAGTGGTATTATTGTCAGTTGTGAAGCTGGCATTATGGACTTTTTTCGAGTTATAAAGAGGTCTTTATAAGGACTCTGTTATAATATGAAAATAAGTCATGAACGTAGATATAAACATTTGAGGAGATCCTTCTAGGTTTACTGCGATGATCTTTAAATACAAATAAGCCGAGCTCATTGATTTATTTTCCATTGCAATAAAATCACGTCTACATTGATTATCTTTGAATTGTATTGGACGGTAATTTGCACTTGACTGTACCGTCCTTGAACAGGCTCAATCAAACCGAATTTGCAACATTTTCAATTTTTCAGTGTTGGGCTTTCTTTAAGGAATCGTATTTTCTCTATTTGACGGTCAAGTTAAATGTAATGTCATAATAGAATTAATGGGGAGATTGCGGAAACAGACAGAAGAATATAACAAGGAATTGATTGGTGAAAATTTTCGCCAATATCGGATATATCTTGCTTTATGTCCTTGTCTATATACTTTTATCAGGTGTTCAATCATCTATCAATGGATGTTTTTTTATCATCCTTCGTATAAGTGAATGATTTTCAAAAGTCACAATGAATTTCTTACTTTATAGATACAGTTAATTTTTTGCCAAAAAGGTCTCTACAACTGAATCAAAATCAATCTTAACTAGATTTATTGTTGGCTAACTTTAGCATGCTTGCTTTAGCATCTTCAATAGAATTTATTTAAAGTCATTCTTACAGAACAAAGGAACAATAGAGACAAATAGTTTTATTTTCTTCACATTACTGTCTCAAATTATGTTTATTGAGCAAAAGGTAGAAACTTCCACCTTTTGTTTGATGCGAAATCCTGTGAAGTTTGCACTTGACAGTACTGTCGATGAACAGACTCAATCAAACCGAGCCTGCAACATTTTCAATTTTGCCGTGTTGGGGTTTCTTTAGGGATTCTTATTTTTCTCTATTTTATATTGCTAATATAACCCTACACCAATCTAAATTGGCATAATGAAAAGATAAAAGTAGAAAAAATATGCATTTTCTCTATTTCGTTATTACCTAAACATCAGGCCATTTTACCAGGTATTATCATCAAGCCCTGGTGATCTTATGATTTCTTTGGTTTTGTATTAATTTATTATTTTTTTTTTTTGTGTTTTTTAGGGGAGGAGGATTACGTCGCACCGACACAGACAGTAAAAGAAATATGGTGATTTTCCAGCTTTACTGATTCAGGAAGACTTCGTGTGACCCTTCGTTTCCCATTTACTATCTAGATAGCTGTGAATCTAAATGTTCAAGCGGGATGTGAGGGGCAAGTAGTTTAAAAGCCACGGCCGCCGCTCACTGATTAATTATCTGAATACACACCGTGATTTAGTAAAATATGATAAACAAGATCATCAAGGAAAGGTGGCGTTCAAGGAATGCAACCCCCACACGATCCAGTAACAGGAGCCAGTGGCAAGTCAAACATGTGTACAACAATGTTTTAGATTCAGAGTATTGTAGATGTTAATTACTTCATTAAGACGAAATGAGTAACTTTTTGGAAACTGTA